ACATTCACCAACACCTGGTTTGCATGGGCTGCCTTGCGCTCTGTATTGTGCACGAGACATCAGCTCTGAGTCTGCACATTTTATACTTCATTTTCTAAGACCCATCACAGGGACTGATGTGTATTTGACACTGTGCAGAAACCCTGACTCCAGCATAAAGACTGTATGATGGCCCATGGCTCACACTTCCCTGAGAAGGGGACCCCAGATTCCATATCTACATCAGGCTAAAGAGACATGTACTCATACTCCTACTCCTCCATAGAAGTCTTCAGCCACCAAGCTAAGGACTAAGATACATGAGGTGAAAACACAGTTTGGATTAATTTATGACAAATACTAAAAGATTCTGGAGGACAAACAAAGGCGAAGCATGGCTTCATATCTTAGTGTTGAATGCCTTCATGTGTACAAGGGAATCCTGGGTGTCCTCCCTCAGGTTGTTTTGCATTTCACATGCAAGTCACCATACCCCCAAAACTCAGAACACAAGTTAGCTTGTCCATCATAGCCCTCTATTTCAGCAAAGAACTCAGCCAAGGACATTTTCACCCACTATTCACATTGGAGGCAACGTGCTACAGCAAAGATCTGCTTGAGCTTCTTTGGTGAAGAAAATGTGTTTCCAAATTAATTCTCCCATCTAGATTCCTACTGCTACATAACTGTATCTGAAATACGTTTTCCTTCATTTTTTCACCTGATCTTCTCTTCTGAAAAGAATGACTGGTTCCAAAAAACACTGTGGCTGTTTTAAGCCAGTGCTGTATTTCAGAATTGCATCATTTGGCAAAAGGGGTGAGACTCCTCTCAGGATATGTTCTGTTATCTGTCTATGTTTGTACTTAAAATGCACAGGAATTAACAACAGGGCTATGTCCATGCCAAGTCACCACTTCTTCCAGGAGCCCATGGTGCAAAATTCCTGAGTCTTGGGTAAAATGGTCTTTTGCTAACGCACCAATTTCATACAACGTGTGCTCTTTTTCTCTGTAGCTCTACTTCCATCCTAAATACTACATATATTAAATCAGCAGCATTTTATGTAGGGAGAGATGGTCTTGAAAGGAAATTTAACTTTGTTCTTACCAGAACTAACACACCATAACATCAGGACATTACCCAGAGACTGGAGAGGAGTTAAAACCTCTCAAAACCCCCATTAGAAACACATTCCAGCCCTTCAAAGGCTGTGCACTGGCCACTCTGCTCACATCCAGATATCATAACCTGTGCATTATTACACAGACTCCAATATTAGTAAGAAAAAGGCAGTGTCAAAAGTTAAGGCAATATTCCAAACCAAGCTGCACATACTCATATCACAGTAGAGCAATGGAATTGTTTGAGTCATTTGTCAGTGTACATCGTACGTACACTATCTCCCTGACACTGAATGCTTCCATAAACAAGATCTATCTATTCAAGCATCCATCACCACTTATTACAATAACCATTTTTGTAAGGGACCATAGAAACATTGCCATGGCACACACATCCTTCAGTTCTTGAAGTAAATCATCAGGCTCTTATCTTCGCGATTCCTACTGGAAGTTCACAGCTGAAAGATTCCTAATGAATTAGCAGGACAGGATGTTGTTAGCATTTGTGCCCTATTCCAAAAGTTAGCCTCAATTGTTTCTCCATTATATAATAATAACCAGAATTGAGCTAAAAGCTCAGCCAACATGTTGTAGCTCAATTTTTTTTAACCCAACACATGCCACTGACAGGGAACTGGCAGGGAAGTTAACCACAGATGGTAGCCAGAATGCAGAGAATTCATTCAGTATAATAGAATAATTGTGAGACAGTACTCCAGTGTCTCAGAAGCAGTATCCATTTATCTTTCACTGTCTAAGGTTCACTCTTTCTTACTAGAAATTTAAACAAGGTGAAATTAAGACTCCCTGACTATAGCTTTATCATTATAGGGGACACAGCAAGTAAACTACAGCAGTACACAAACACCCCAGCTTTGCTATGGGCAGCAACAGGTGGGTTGCACAAGTAAATGTCACAAAGATTTTTTTTTCCCCTCCCTTCCGTCACATGATAATAAATATAAATACCACGCAAAGCTCTAGTTCTTTAAATACACCTCTTGGTAGAGTGTTCCCAGACACCTGCTTTTGGAGAACAAAATAGAGAAAGCATTGAAATACCGCAGAAAGGCAACATTTGATTAATACAAAATCCTACTACAGCTAAATGGACTGTTTGACAATGAAGGACTAAAAGCAGGGATTAGAATGGTATGAGAGAGATGAGTGTGAAAGAGACCTTCTATACATAGATAGAAAGGTGTAAACAATGTCAGTATTCAACACATTTTCAGTTGATGGCCTGAGTGTCCAAGGTTTCAGAGAAGAGTTTGCAGAAAGCTAAAGCAATCAGAAAAGCTAAAGCAGGCCCAATAACTGCACCCTTCCTCCCCTTGGCTCAGGCAAGCAGTTGCTCACCAGCCCAGGGGCTTCCTTCAACACCAGCTTTACCTATAAGCATCACTGATGCTTGCAAACTGGATGTCAGCCTCACTCTACCCACTCAGTTGCATGAAACTGATGAAGAGAGACCCATGGCACATGAGACTCAAAACCTCTTTTTAGTTCACCAGTCAAGTCCAGCAACCAAGATGCTGGCACACGTGGGTACTGTGAAGTAGGGGTAACAGAATTCACCCAGGTGAATGAATTAGACAGGTTGAACTTTTATGACAAAGTTTACAGGTGATTCTTGTTGGGGCTTCCAAAATTATTTCGTTCCTATTGACTTTTCCTTGGTGGTAGAATTGCAGCTGCCCCAGATGTTCAAAGCTACATAACAAAAGAAGATCACGTTGGTAAGATAGTGTCAAAGTGATAAATGCCAGTACAAACATTAACCACAAGAACCATCAAAAGTAGAAATTCTAGCCTCAGTATCTACTGTTTCTCATGGAGGTAAAAAGGAGAAAAAGACACAAAGGAAAAGAGGTAGAAGAGTGCAATAACTCTGGGCAACTTTACTGAAGAGAAGCAGCATCTTCCTCCTCAGGGAGAACGAGCAAGTCTTGGTGCTTCAGGAGAAATTAAGAGGAAGCACTCGCTACCTTCTGTCCCCACTTCTCCAGACTCCCAGGCAAAACAGGAAACTGTGGCCCAACCCATATTACTTCAGCTGAAGTACTATTTGGCATAAACAGAAAACACATTATATAAAGTAGCAACGCTGACCTAAGTGGGGAGTTCGGCATACACTGACGTAATTTGTGGAAGGAGACATCACTGACAAATCTCACATTCAGAGACGTTAGAAAGAGAAGTAGTGTCTCCTACAGTCAAAGGAGCAACTGGGAAACAAAGTGACCTTCACATCCCGAACACTTTTTCCAACCCTTAAATGAGGTCTGGGAAGGGGTGGATCCTGGCTCCATCTCTTCTGGTCACTCAGATCCATTGCATGCACCTGAGCTCCCCTGGGTTGGCCCTGCCTTCCACTAGTGCTCAATCACTGCTTCACGTCATGACTTAGCATTTCTGCAACAGACAAACTGAGGAAAAAACCTCCAATAATCTTGGTTTTTGAATTTTAGATTGGTATTAGTTAATTTGAGCTCGGATTCCCTCTTTAGGAACTTCACAACTACCAAAAAAAAAAAAAAAAAAAAGCCACTTCTGTAAAGCTTTAAAGGAATTACACTCTCTTGGGAGTGGAAATCACACTGAAAAACAAGATTTCACTCCAGACAGCTGTGGCCATCTAGGTATACAAGTGACATTCACAGGGCCAGATCACTGCTTCACACCCTGTGGCTGTTTGCTTTTTTCCTTAAATCTATGAGAACAATTTGGTTGTTAAACGTACTGTTAGATTTTATGCCCTGAAATCCTTACAAATAACAGGATTTGTTATGACTTTGTTATGAAATTCTGTATCAGCCACTTAAACAGGTACTTAACTTGAAGTACCAGACGGTCCCAGAGGACCACAGTAAATGGTAGCAGCCTGTTGTCTTCTCCCTAGGCCTATTTACCAGGCAGTACAGATGGACATGATCTACACCTGTGTTGCAATAAATTCAGTCCACTCAAGCTCAGCTGTCACAGGCAGTGTCAGGATACTCTTAGAAACGTAACTTCCTGCTGAAGTTTTCTGCTGAATGAGAGTCTTCTCTGCATTGTGCACATATGGATAACTGCCTAATTCTAGCACAACTTTATTTCTCTGCCATGCAAATCTCACGTTCATCTGAGTTATTCTGCTTAATTATTGGACCTACTTTTCATCCACCTCATTCATTAAAGTGCTGGCCAAACAAAACTGAAAGCAACAACAGGATCGCTAGTGAGCTTTGTGAAAGTAACAGTTCTCCCTTATCACAGCAAAATTTGTCAGCCCTGTAACTCCTGCCTGGGAGTGGGGAACAGCCCCATTCAGCACGGAGCTACCTATGGAATAACTCAGCTGTTCATGCTCCTTGCTATGTTGATAGATACATAGAGATACCTACAATGCAAATGCTTACAGTAATTTTGCGTACTCTATATGAAATAAATATCACGAGTAAACTCTAATACTCAGAACTGAATAGCATACAATATTGGGGGCCAAGTTACGTTTACAAACACACAAGCATTAATCCTATGAACTCAGCTTAATTTCTTAGTATGCAAGCGTCAGAAATTGCTAGCTAAACTACACTTCAAGAAGCCATAATAACTGATGGTCATGCCAAAATCTAAGAAGAAAAAAAAACACAAACATTCTAAAAATCTTTAAGGTTGGAAAAACCCTCTAAGATCACTAAGTCCAACCATCAACCCATCACCACCATCATCCCTTGAAATGACACACAGCTTTCAACAGATAGTAATCATATTGTGGTTTCATGAAATTCATTAACACCATCTAATAATAATAAATATCATCTGTAACATAGGTCTTTTGTTCTAAACAAACTCAAAATCAGAGCAGGAGCAACAGCACGGTGTCCACACATAGCAAAAACAGAGACAGCAAGAGCCTGTACCTGGACCAGAGCTGCAATCGCTCAGAACAAAGTGAGAATGGGGAGATTTACTGTCAAAGGGGAAGAGATGGAGAGAAGAGGGCCTTGTCACATCTCCAGTTACAGTTGTTGTTGCAGAATAGTTTGGAGGAATAGCCTAGACTCTGTAGCCTGCTCTTGCCAGCATGTCCTCAAAAATGCACAGTGTCCCAAAAGGCAGCAATAGCATACAGGAGCACTGCTAGCAACAGCAGACTGCAGGCTGTGCTGTTCCATGTCTGTGCAGGACAGAAATGTTGCTGCGCCAAAGGCACACGTGGCAGTTTGTTCTCTGTATCCTAACATAAATACTTCTGCCAAGAATTTTTCAGTGAGGAAGTGAGTGATTGACAAGTATATCTTTTTTCAGAAAAGAAAAGATCTCACACACTCAATACTCTGACTCAACATCATCTTACACTACTGAATAATAAATTCTAGATCCTGCCCTGGAAATTTGCTTACACTTTAGATCATGGCACTTTTCTCATCTTGCAAACAGGTTCGTGAAGAGGATCTTCCTAACAACAACTCCTTCTCATGAATCAGGCTATCTAGCAGGTCCTCTTGTCTGTAGTTGTGATACACTTTCAGGAAAGCCAGAATGGTGATTCCCAGCCACGTCAGCCAGGCAGCCCACAGACCAAACTAGAGAAGGAAAGAAATGATGAAGATGTCAGTAGTGTTTCATAAAGACAAAATCAAACGTCCAAGATCAAAATGTCACCCAAACAAAAGGCCATGGAGTCACTACAAGTTCTGGTCCTACTGCTCCTCAAGCCTGCCTAGTTATTTTCAGCTTAAGAAGAAAAAAAGAAACAATATGTTTTTTCAGGAAACAAAAACATACTGATTACATCAATGAAGAATTCTGTATAATTCACATGCAGCTGCTGAACTTCCCAAATACGTGACATTCTGGCTGTCTCAAAATTCTTGAGATTATTTCTCACATATGCTATCATAAGCATATGTTATCATATGCTTTAATACACTTTTCCAAAACTTTTTTCCTGAGTCCTTTGAACATCATGCTATCTGTAGAGAAATAGAAATTTTAAGGCATTTCTATTCAGAAAATACTACCAATTGAATGGCTACATTCTGGGGTAATTTGTTCACAATAGCAGAAATTCAGAAAGATAAACTTCATCCAACACACCCTAGTGCATGGTGGCTCATACATGCATGGCATTTGAGATCTGTTCTTAAAGCCTCAGATCTGCAGTAAGTTGCTAACTTAGTCTCTCCTGTTTAACTGTGCAAATAACTACATTTCTACTGATTCAGGTACTTGACTGTTGGCCTCCCCTATGATGCTTGTTTGTAGTAAAGTTTTCTGGCAGAAATTCCATTTTAAATTCATTATGCCTTCAACAACAACAACAAAAAAAAAAGAAAAAGAAAAAGAAAAAAGAAAAAAAGAGACAACAGCAACAGGTTAATTGAATCCTTGTATTTCAGCTTTGACATATTGCAGTTTTTATTTTTAAGAAAAGTGACAATTTAAACACTTCTAGACAGCAGGGCAGCTGTTTATTCTAATAACCAGTTTAGGTAAACAAGGGCCACAATTATGTAAATGGAGGTGTATGGTCCTATATGTCTTATGTACTTTAGAATGTCTCTTAAGTATTTCTGCTCATTCTTAACATTATCTCAGTTCATGAGTAAATAATATTTTTGAATTATTCTATGGGACTTGGGAACAAGAATATGCTCATCTGGGTTTATATGACCAAATACAGAGACTTGGAAGCTTTCCATTCATTTCTTAAGCACCATGTCATTAATGAGATATATTCAAATATCTTATACTGTGGTTTCCTCAGTGTATCTGATATGAAGGTATATACATGGGCTTAACCAAATTTAGGATTCAGGGTATCTCTGACAAAGAGAAAGCTCACAGCCCCACGATCTCTGCAGGTCAGCCATTCTGATTCTGTTCTCATTCCTGACAGCAGTGTAGAGCTCCAGGGAACCAGAGCATTGCAGCCTTTGAAAAGCTCATACTTTGCAGAAACAGTAGATTTTCTATGATGAGTAAGAGTCAGATTTTGACATGTCTGCATTCAAAACTATCTCTTTTGAATATAAAATGCAAATGTGACCATTCACAATCATGCTGATTCACCACTCGTGGAAGTCAATGGAAACATTCCCATCAATTTCAGAGGACTGTAGTTCAGCTCCAACAATCTCAGATCAATGTGCCAATGGTAAATGAACTGGAATAGACCCATGACCTAGTATGACCTACCTGTGCAATAGCAAACTGGTCGTAGAAAGCAGAGTTTTCTAAGTTCAGTTCAAGATCTATATCCTGTAATTCTTCACAGCTGTCCAAAGAAAGCATTTGGGGGTGGGAGAAGAAGAAAGAAAGTTATTTCAGAATTTCCAGACAGGCAAATCAAACATAGAACAAAGAAACATCTAAGTGTTTCCAACAGTCACAATGACAAGTTCTACAAAAAGATATATAAGTTGGTGCGGTAACTGGATTGCTTGCCAATCTTCTCTATAACTAGGGTAAAAGAAGCATGTAAATACTTTCTTTTAAAAAGCAATGTGTAATTATATAAGTGATAACACCAATCTTTCATGAAATGGAACTGTAATAGATATTATGAAAACACTATACCCTTGTTCTCCCACTCCCCAAGTGCCTCCCACTGATACGCATCTGGCATCAGCCCAGCTCATCTGCTTCGCCCCTCAATGAAACAAAGTGTATGAGCCTCCATTACCTTTTGACATCATCAGGAAAAGCCTCAGAAGAAGGGATTGTATGGGTGTTTTTGTTTCGGATGCTCCAGCAAGGAGACGGAACTCTGATAGAGGCTGCCTACAGATTTTACAAATAACTTGGACTGTTACTGGTGTGAAAAAAATCCCAGGATTTTGAGGTTGTCTTTCTATCTCTTGCTTGATTTCTGCAGCCTCTTCTCTGTCCTTTTCAGTGCTGTCGGTCATCTTGGGTTCTTATCCGAATATTCGATTAGACGCTTTTTGTAATTGAATATTTAACCGAATATTCGAATAATTCGATTAATCGTTGCAGCCCTAAACAGAACATTTACTATGGCACTTTACAACATATGACAATGTGCAACATTAATGTATGCTTTAAGTAGTATACTTATTCAATATCATATGACATAAAATGTCAGCTTTTTCTTTCCTTTTATTGTCAGGACCCTGTCTCCCAGTCCCCTGCCCTACTCATAGCACCACATTCCCCGCTTCATCATTTCCAAATCCAGATCTCCTTTGTAAATGAAACTTTTTGGTTTTCTTTTGCATGTGTTCATGACTCTAAAAGAGCCCATGAAACATCACAGAAACCATACTTTGTTTTGTGGGGAACTAAAAGCAACAAACCTTGGTTTTCTAGTTTTGTTCCAAATGAAATGAATCTGGAGTTCCCTATTTTTCTCTTTGATTACCTTGCACGTAATAACTACAGTTTGTACCAACACTGTTCATTTGTGCATATACAAAAAATAAAAGGAAGAAAATATATTCTTTAGTACTAACCTATTTGGCATGCTTCCTTTTTCAGTAATTGCATCACACCACATGTTAAATCCTACACTCACTATAGTGCTGGCAATAAACGTGATAAACACCACAAAGGCGCTGATCAGCAGATTCAGGAAGGCATAAAAGAAAGAGCTGTAATAAAAGGGAAGAAAAATGTAACTCATAAACATCTGAAACACAACATCAGCAGTCTCTCCAAGCAGTATATAGCAGGCAAAAAGATATCAGTTTCCATTTGAAACGCTTATGCTTTAATTAAGACCACCTAATACATTGAAAATCTATGGATTATGATTTTGAGTCAGATTATCCTCATTTTTAAGCTTCTTTGATTTTTTTTTTCCCCGTAAGAGGATATGGTTCTAAATCATAAACAGTAAGTGGCAATTGTTCATACACAGAATGGCCTTCATTAGCTGTAATGATGAAAATCACCATTGTTAAAATAAATGCCATTAGCTCAAATTATGCAGCAACTGGAGTTTAAATTATTTCATGACCACAATGATAATTGGGACAAAAATTGCCTAGGAGAGGGAAACTAAAAATAAAAATAAAACAACACAGTACTGATAGCTATAATCATTTTAAGCAATGTAACACAAGGTACTGGTATCATAGGACACGAATCTCAGTTTTATGGGCAATTTGCAGAGCAGGCCAGCTTCTCTTGGGATATCTCTGGCTTCGATGTCAATACATTATTTTTGCCAGCCAGATGTTAGCTTACACCAACCCCATAAGTCTGTGCAACCAGGGCCTGCCCAAACCATGTGCTGTGCTGGGAGGTATGAAGATGCTCAGTGTGATGCCATAAGGAATTGCTCACCCATCTTCCAGTCTCATGGGGCAGTCTTCCTCATGACTGGGTTACGCTGAAAGAGGATCACTTTGCTACCTAACTCTCCTCAGTTCTCCTAGGCAGCCTGGTCTAGTGGTTGGCAACCCTGCCCATGGCAGGGGGTTGAAACAAGATGATCTTTGAGGTCCTTTTCAACCCAGGCCATTCTGTGATTCTGTGATTCTATCATTCTACGATGAATTCTAGCTAATGAAAACTTTTTGATCCTTTTCTCATTCTTCTGGCCAAGCCTTTTGCTACTTGAAGCTGCTAACTGACATTTGCAAAGTCTCACTATTGAAAAACAGAACACTTATTCTAGGCTGCAGAAAGACTAGCAACTCCACAAGGAAAGAGTATTCAATTCAGTAAGAATTAATATGACAAATTGCCCACCATTGCCCCTTTCATTATGCTGGGGATAGAAGGAGTCTACTCACTCCAGAGAACGATAATAATAAAGGCCATTTATTTTCCCTGATTTCTTATTAAATTAAAATCCAAGAGGTATTTTTGAGTTTGTCGTTTTAGGAATATTCTGGGCTGGATCATCTTAATTTCTGGTGGCCAACCCTGCCCATGGCAGAGGCGGTTGGAACTGGATTGTCTTTGAGGTCCCTTGCAACCCAAGCCACTCTGCAGGTTGCACATGGTAAGACATATGGGGCCTCATAAGGACTTATTTAAAATGAGTTGAGGCAGCATTTACCAGTTGGTCTGGGATGTTTGGTCCTGGAATATTAGGAGCTTTGAAGGAGTTCTCTCAAAAGGGCAGTCATGCCATCCCACCGCTCATACAGAAGAAGTTAAATTAGTCATGTTTCAAATGTGCTCTTATAGATTATAGGGGGAGCTTGGTTCTGGGACACCCGACTTCTAGATCAATGTTTATATGAATACCATTCTTCCCTTTCAATTTCACTGGGCTTACAGTACATCAGTTCACTGCTGCAGAGTTCCAGGCTCCATAGCAGATGGAGCCGTTATGGGCATGCCACAGTTTTTCATGTTCATTTTCACTGCCCTGGTTTCATATCTAACTTAGGTCAGGCTCATGCCAGCCCAAGATACAGAAAAGAGTGGACTTGTACTCTTGAATAAAGGTTGACACTAGAACTAATAACAGCTCTAGAAAAGGAATGATTATCACTCTGCTTGCTACCTTGCAGCACAGAGGAGGAGCCAAAGTCCAGAATCTGACTTCCTGAACAAAGCAGAGCTCAGTGCTGTACCTGATTTGCACTGGGAAAAACATTGTCATCACCATCGCTGTCACTATAACCGTGCATGAAGATTGTTCAGGTCACAGCATCCTGGCAGAGAGATGGGAAGGTCTACCTCTCTGCTTCTCCTATTTTTCTACCTGCATCAGAATTACAGCTACACATTCCAGATTGAGTGGATGCCCTGTAATGGTAAATGCTTACACTCAAGGCAGAAGTCACTTTGCTACCCTGCCTGTGAAGTGTCTGAGTTGGACTCTGTCTTTCAGTTGCACTGAATGGTCCCAGGTCCAGAGCACAGCTGACAGCAAGCATATGGCCTTCCCATCCTGCAAGCCACTGAGCACAGCCTGCTCCTGAGGCAAGGGGTGCTCAGACCTTCTGAAGAGGGTTGGTAGCAGTCCTAAATATCTGTAGCATGATGTGAGCAGAGTTACACAGCTGTTGCTGCTCAGCCCAAAGGAACCTGAATGCAGCTTCTGAAGTGACAGTCTCCAGAGGCTTGCCCATCTGTTTAAGATTAAACACACACATTTGGGAGCAGGCCAAATATCAAATACAAATTACACTATTATAGGGGTTCTACTGCCAGTTTCTTCCCCCCAGAAATCAGGTTCTGAATTATAAAGCTGAAAAAAAGGTGTCTGGATTCAACTACTACCCAATAGATATGTGATGACCAGAGGAAAATGAATTCAAATACACTAAGTCCATGATTATACTCTTCTAAGATAAGTTTTAATATGGAAATAAGTTTCTGTTTTGTACTTTCCTCTCATTGTGGTAAACAAAAAATAGCTTTTCTAGTCCAGCCAGCCACCAGTGTGTTCTCCTTCCTTCCCTCCTCCATGCAATTGGATGCTTGAATACTCCATAGTACCCACCAGCTGGGTGACCTGTGCCAAGGGCTGTATCAAAGGTAGTAAGACAGGGACCAGAGAGCCAAACACTGTGCACGGCACCACTGATCTGCTGCCTGGACCACTGGGCCCTACTCCTCCTGCAGGGCCTGGTGCATTTTGGTTTGTCTGAAAAGAGAAACAATCCATCGGAGCAGCCGTGCTGCTACACAGCACTCAGCTCTGCTCACTTGTCGTAACCAAGCAATAGCTGCTCTCTGCAATAGTTGCCAAGCTCATAAGAAAAGCAGAATAAAAATAACAGTGGAATAATCTACCGCTCCCTCCTTCCTTCCACAGGCACAGCCACATTGCTTTGAGATTTATCACATACCCAGTATAGGTCTGGAGAAGGCCTCCTCACGCAGAGATGTGCAGTGGGACCAAGGCAGGCGGTACCCTCCAGCATCACCCCATCCCCATAGCAACCTTCATACCCACCATGGTTGGCACGGCCAAGTGCTGCACGCAGTCACCAAAGTACAGCAACAAATCTGTCTCCCACCCCACACCCCTGTGTAGGAGCATCCTCCTGAGGTTGCCCTGTGCACAAATGGAATACATGTAGGGTATGTGTGCAGGCAAGGCACCACGTCACCCCTAACTCCTTTGGCAGGGCAGTATATGGTACAGAGCTCAGTGTTTGGTCCCCAGGCTGCTCCCACCTGCCCCAGTCTGCAGGAGGGGTGGGCACCCCTGCCCTCCCCAGGAGTACTTACTCCTCATGCCCTTTGCAGAGGAAGAAGAGAGTCCGCCAGGCCTGCACTGTAGCCAGCAGCAGAGAGAGGAGCCCGGTGAAGATGCTGAAGCGGCAGGCGGCCTCAGGCCCCCACTCCTGCACGGTGAAGCGCTGCCGCTCCACAGTGAGGTTGGCATTGAGCCACATGCCCTCGGTGAAGAGCAGGCATCGGCCGTGGAAGTCGTTGCCATTCTCAGACAGCGGCACCACCACGATGAAGCTGAAGAGGAAGGCCAGGAAGTAGCAGATGCACTGAGCAAAGAGGAAATTGCTAAGAGCCATGTCCGCAGCTCCTCACAGGCAGAGGGAGGGATGGAGGGAGGGATGCGGGAGGGAGGGATGGCAGAGGGAGGGATGGCAGAGGGAGGGATGGCAGAGGGAGGGATGCAGGAAGGAGGGATGCAGGAAGGAGGGATGCAGGAAGGAGGGATGCAGGAAGGAGGATGCTGAGGGGGAGTGATGCGGTGAGGAGGGGGGAGGAAGGATGGAGGGATGCAGGGAGGAAGCCTGCAGCAGTAGGGGGGTGGGGTGGGAGGATGCGCAGTGCAATGCAATGAGATGCGATGCCTCCTCCAGCACCACGCTGCTGCAGCCGGAGCTGTCCCCACCATCTGAATGCTGATGGCTTCAGGACTTGTGCTGGGAGGGAGAGCCCTTGCGGGGAATTCCTCTTCCCCTGGGAAATCTGGCAGCTGGTGCTCGGGGGGGTAAATTAATCAGTGCCTCCCCCCAGTACCACTGGGGCTCTCAGTATTCCCCCGATGACAAAGGGCACTTGTGTCACCCATGCTTGTGGCTGTGACACACCTCCTCCACTGTAAAAACCTGCCTCATCCTAGCTGCTGGATCCCAGAAGAATTTAGCCCTTTTTTTCCTAAAAATATGACTAAAACATGCCTGGGACACTCGGTAGACATCAAACATCCACCCCTGCACTTCTGTCCCAGAGTGTGTCTGAAAGACCCTAGAGTACAGAGTGGGTGGGGGTAGTGTCCCATCACCTCTTGGATTCCATTTCTCTGTTTCCCCAGATCCGCAGCTGAATACAAATATCTATCAAACAACATGGCAATAAAGGTCAGGGTGTACAGGTCCCCACCCCAGGACCAACAGATTGAGTGTTTTTGGTAACCCAGCTGGTCACCCCTATACAAGGCATTGCAAGGGCTCACCATAAGTGGGATAACTTTTGTTGAGACTTGGTGCCCTGCACTCCAGCTGAACATTGAGCCAAGACTAGACCAGCCCTGGCTCTGGGCACAGCAGAGACACTTGCTTGTCAGGGACAGTCACTGCTCACTTGATTCCCAGGGGCAGGGAACCACTGTGCTCTGCAGTGCCAATTACACTGCGTATAGGATTTCATGCCTGTGTTTCCACTGGGCAGAAAGCATTTATTTTTCCATGCTGTGAAGAGGTTACAGCACGGTCTTGGGGCAGAGGCTGCTGGGATTCTTACTGAAGACGTTATTCCAGCTTCATTGTAATCTATTTCCAATGCACATTGTCATGAAATTTTATTCTATCCATGCAAGGAAAGGTGATTTTTGTGCAGAACCAGCTTCTGGAATAAAACTTTTGTCCATCATACTGCTGTTTGATGAAATGTTTCAGACCATTTTTCAGATTCCTACACAACCCTGATCACCAAAAATTGTATTGCAATTATGCAAGATGAGTTATAGAGAACTGGCCTGACCCTGTGGGGATAGACATGCACTCCTAGCAGAAAAGATTTTGCTGATATTTCAGTCTGGTAGTAAAGAGGAAAGTTTATTGCACTTAACCTTAATTCCAGGCAGTGCTGGGTTCCCAAAGGGTTTTGTTCTTTGTCTGGAAGGAAATCAGACCTGGACTGAGCTGGAAAACTATTTTCTTTGAAACCTGATACATCAGATTTGCCAGATATCATCTGAAGTTAACTTGGGAGATCAACAGCAACATAAAAGCTCAGTTACTGCTTGTAGTGGAGCCCACAGAAGGGGCCTGCAGATGCCAAGACACTTTGCCTCTGGCAAGCCCAGTGTTCGAATCTCAGCACCAGCAACCATAGGGCTCTGCTGCAGGGGTGAAACCTGAGGGTCGCTTGCAAAGCACACAAAGTTGTCCTTGCTGATCAACATGCTCAAGCTAGCATTTAATGGGGTGTTTTGGAAAACGCAGCTCGACATTTGCAAATGTTAACAGACATATAAAACACAACTGCTTGTAGTAGTTTGACAGCCACTGAAGCACAGTGCTTGGTCAGCTGGAGCAGCCACACACCAGAGAGTGCACACAGGTGGAAATCAAACTTGCCACCTGCAACCCATTTGGCAGCTGCCTGAATCCCTCATACTCTACTCTCATGTAAATCTTGAAAAAAAAATTGCAGTTGTGTAATAAATGTGATGGTGTTTTATAAAAAAGACTTAAATAGGCTTTGTGTCATTAAATGTTGCAATTAAGGAAGGAAGGCACAAGATAAGGTGTATAATCATTCATCGCTTCTTATGTCACATATACTGGAGTGCAGCAAACAAACTGATCAAGCAGAAATTTTATAAGAGAAAAAAAGGTATGTACTTTTCACACAGCACATAATGAGCCTGTGGCACTCATCATAGGACTCTGAAGAGGCCAGAAATAGATCGGATCCCAGGCAAGATGGTTTTTTGGTCTTACCCACTATAGCCATTTCAGGTTCTCGTTGCCATGGCTGACACTAATAGTACATTAATAGTCTCTGCCTTAGCATTGTCACCCATGTAGGGAGCACTGGTCACAACGACAAAACAGGCTATGAGATCAATGGCTGTTGCTATTATTACTGGTTGTGAGATTGTACTCAGCGAGTGGTGGTCAATGGATCAATGTTTGCATGGAGACCAATGATGAGTGATGTCCCTCAGGGGTCAGTACTGGAACCAGTGTCCTTTAACATCTTCCTCGATGATTGAGAATAATGAGAGTGGGATTGAGTGTACTTGCAGCAAGTCTGTGGACAGTGCCAAGCTGTGTGGTGCGGTCAACACATCCAAGTGAGAGGGTATCATCCAGAGGAACCTAGACTGGCTAGAGCAGTGGGCACAGAAGAACCTCATGAGGTTCAGCATAGACAGATTCTTAAGCAGGGTCTGTTGTGATAGAACAGTAGGAAATGGTTTCAAACTATAAGAGGAGAGATTCAGACTGGATATAAGAACGAAGTTTTTTACAACTAGTGTGTAACCTCTGGCACGGGTTGCCCAGAGAGGTGGGGGATGCTGGATGGGGCTCTGAGCACTGATGGAGCTGTAGGTGTAGCTGTTCATTGCATGGCGGTTGGACCAGATGACATTTAATGATCCCTTCTAACTCAAACAATTATTTGATTCTATGATTTCCATCTCTGTGACAGGTAGAAAACCAACCTGGGTGTACTGAGATGAGATTTACCCACATTCCCTTCATCCCTACATCTCCTTCCAGTTATCAGGCTCAACCCCTATGGATCAAGTAACACTGCAAGAGTTGGGCTGCTGCAGAATGACAGATAAGGGCTGTGGTTCTGACTGCTGCTCCATGCTCCCTCTCAAGTCATTAATTATTCCATCTGACATGAACAGTGCTCTCAAGCTGGTATTTAAGTGATGAACTTCCTCTCCTCCTGGTAGCTCATTAGGGCATGTTTTATTATGGGAAAATTTGCTGAGGAAGTAATTATTCAGGCAAAAACACTGTTGTGAGAAAACTTTATTTATATATTTGCTTTACTGTAGATATATTATTTTTGTGGTCTAAGAAAAAATAATGGCTACATGTTTAAGAAGGGGCTACCATCCTGATACCAGCAATGTGCTGTTTACTGATGGAGTGGAGGCACATAGTCACAGCAATCTCTACAGAGGGATGCCCAGGGAGCAGTATGTCTATATTTTAGGCAGAGTACAACCATCCAAACAGCTCCTTTTGTGACAGCCCTTCAGTCACCCAAAGGCAACTTCTCCCTGATTTACTTCAGCTCAAATGTCTGCCTCAGTCCCTTTAACCAAACGCTTTAGCAAAATGCAGCTTGACCATTAAATGCAGCAAAGCACCTTCAGGCTCTGGAGTCTATTTTATTCAGACTCTCTGATCTGTTTTATTATTATATTAATCTACTGTTATTTTTCCACAAGCCTTGACCTATGGTATTTTTTCTCTGAGACTAATGGAAAGGATCAGGCATCCTGCATATCCTCTGATAGTGGTTACTCTAAGTGCCACTCTTTGGGAGAGGTTACTTATGGTAATCACTGTCGTCAAGAAGGTGACTGCCACAAGTTCAGAGGCATTATAGACAAAGCGCCCAACTGTCAGCCACTTGTCACATCTGCATTTCTTTACAGCTACTACAGCTTCATGAATCTCTCAGGGCATCTCATCTGGGAACATCTTGACATTGTGCTTTTTTTTTTTTTTTTTTTTTTTTTTTTGCAAATAGTTCTTTAAGTGCCTCCATTTCACTCAGATAGCTGTCTTGACTGCATGGAGGTTATGCGCCCAGAAGGTGCCATGTTGACAGGCATTAATAGAGCAGTTACCAGGAAGCAAAGTCATTAATGTGTCCATAAGCCATAGCTTCTGTATTTTGATACCCAAAGGAAAACAAACATATTCAACTCTGAAATGGAAAACTCTAGAATGTGGCTAAAATGTAAACTGAAAAAAGAGAAAAGAACAGGAGAGGGGAGAGGAGGAGAGGGAAGGGGGGGAGAGGAGAGGAGAGGAGAGGAGAGGAGAGGAGAGGAGAGGAGAGGAGAGGAGAGGAGAGGAGAGTTGCTTGAGGTTTTCAAAGCATTGTTAATCCTAAGCTCTGAGTGACTGACCCACGTCAGACTTCACACAGTATTTCTGTGTCTAAAAATATGTTAGGAAAGCATGGGAGGCTTCTTAAAAGAATGAGAGGAATGAAAGGAAGGAAAAACGCAACAGAAGAGAGATCAGCAAATTAAGAGCCTGCAAAGTCTAAGCAATCAAAATTCAGCCAGAGGGTGAATGTACCTCTGCCCCACTATAAATTAAATGGGGTCATTACATATTACATCAATATCTGACATCTGTAGCTTAACCTGTGACTGCCAAAGACTGCAATATCATCAGATCTAGGAGTGAAGCAGCCACTGAGGCCTTGTGCCTCCAAACAGTCCTGCATCTGCTCAGACCTTTGCACCTGTCTGTTTTCTGCATCATTCAGCAACCAGAAGCCTACACTGCATGGAGGCTTCTGAAAATGCTGCTCTGTTTTTCTTCCCAAAGAGCAGTCAAATGTTTTCCAGCCG